AAGTAATTGACCTAAACTATGATTTATTTCTTCAAAACATATGATGGTTGTCACTATAACCTGTCTCTTATACACATCTAGATGTGTATAAGAGAATGCCATTCGATAGCCCTCGCAAAGAGCTATAAAATGAGCCTAAACTTGTTTATGAAATGTTTCATCGTAAGAAGTTATTCACAAAAAACGCTCAAAATCGTCCCGAATTACCCCGGTTGACGGTAGGTACCTATGGTAATTTTAACTTAATTCCCAAGCTGGTCAATGTTACCCCATCATGGCTGCCATTAGGTGGTCAAAGTTCCCCCATTAGGGGGTGGTGCCCCCCATTTGCAAACTATGACACTTTCCTAAAATTTATCATTTGCATATGTAACTAGAAGAGTTCTACTACAATGCATCAAAACCTGGAGTTATTTTACCAAAAAATAAAAAAGTTGGAGGGGGTACTCTGACAGGCTTTGAATAACAGCTCTTTTTTGTGGGTCACATTTTTAATTTTTTAACCTATTAGATATGCAAACTTTTTAAATCTTTCTATTGTGTTACGTAGCTTCAGTATTAGGCCTATAATGGCCATTGACAAAATTTTTCTATGTCAAATAGTTTGAGTTTTGGGGGTTTTTGTTAAAAAAAGCCAAAAGTGGTTAAAGTTACCCCAGGAGTCAAAGTAACCCCATTTTAAGGTACCGGTACTGTAGAATGGCACCTTGAGCTGCCTCAGAGCCTGAGGCTTTGCTTCCAGACTCCTGGTCTCAGCCCCAAATAGGCAGATCATTAGATGCAATCATCATCATGCTAACTTGCCAAGGATCTGAGAGGCTGAAACTCTTGCATCTTGGGTGACCGGTCTATTATAGTCCACTAATGCATGATGCACTTCTATAGTTGATATAAGAGTAAAGAGAACATGGTATTATGAGATTTTGAACCAATCCTCAATGTTCATCATTTTATGGACAGGCCAACACTGGGCACACCCCACAGCACACTACTCACAATAGCACCACCTCTCACTCAGTCACTGTCTCACAAGACACAATGGCATATGCCATACCATAAACAGGGTGCATACTGGTCATGGAAAACCTGGAAAGTCATGAAATTTGATTTATCATTTTCCAGGCCTGGAAAGTCATGGGATTCCATTTCAGGCTATGGAAAGTCATGGAATTGAAAATATGCCTGTTTAGAGCTGCAAGAACTAGCAAGATTTTAGTAATAAGAA